GTTTGATAAATCCGGTCTCAATCTTTCTTTAACTGAAAGAAAATCGTCTTGTACAGGATTTGGAACAATGTGTACTGATTTGAGAAATATTCCAAATATAATTTGATGTGCGTGTCTGCAATACGTTTTCCAAAATAAAAAAATTGCTTGGTTCTCATGTAATCGCAATATATCATGTCTTTTTTGTTTGTCTATAAATCTGAAACTTTGCAACGTTATTCGCAACTTGCTACCTGGCTGCCTCAGAATTCTACTGTTGTTTACTACTACCATCAACTATCAGCGTCATTGTCACTAGGCTATCGCGTTTATTTCCATCGTCTTTTCCTTTATTGTACGAGCAACTTCTTCCGATTATACTTTTAGTCGGTCTGCAGTGCTTCCTCTTCGTTTCTCATTGTCCCTTTCTTTAATAACGATCAGAACTTATGCACACATCGACTATATCCTCGGGCGTGCACACAAACACGCTTATAATACACGCGCTTTGATATATTGTGTAGTTAGACGAACAAGAGAAATTGGAGTTGCGAGCTTTATATTAACTACTCAATGCGGATATTTCGCGTCTTTCGTTTCGTTGTTGCTGCCAAAAATAGTTACGTGTTAGTTATACCGATTAAATCCATTAGCTCCTTGTACCGTTCGCATCCGTGTGTATTTTATCTATGTTTCATTCGATTTTACCACACTGTACGGCGTAAAATTACATTCTCTGAATATCTGCCTGCAATATTTCTTTCACGTACGCGTTGATGTTATGTTTCTGCATACAACGGGACGCGCGCGGTTGGCACGTATGTCATATTATATCGCTGCAACAAAATTTATGCCGCGACGACGTCTTTGTCTTACTTTTTTAATCTTACTGCGTGCATGATGATTACAGTGCGTATCGCTGTAAAATCACGGCATTCGTATGTGGTCGTCTGTCGATTGTAACGGGACAGCAAAAGCACACGTGCCGCGAGTGGCAAACGAAAACGATGACAATAGAGAAAGCAGATGAGATAATAGATAATAGACACATGTTGGGGCGATTGTTCGTGCAAGAACTTTTGTACATACAGCCGCCGTGTGGCGCAGAAACTCGTAAACGAGATTCTTCTTGCGAACGTGCCTTTATTTAAAATTATTATTCTTTTTTTGCGCATTGCACCAGGTATAATCTCTTTTCTCGGTCGCGACAAATTCTGTTAAGCAATCAATCAGCTATTTTTTTCGACTTATTTACAAATAATATAACTTGTCAATTTTTCTAATAGCTAGATTTTTCTACAAAGAGAAGCGCTTCTTCAGCTGCGTAAGCATTTTTTGAAAAAACTGCTCAAATATAAGATACAAATAGTCAATAGAAATTTTTATAAATTTGTTGTATTGCATCACACACACACACATATGTATTTTTCTCGCTTGTTAGCAATCCTGGGCAGAGCAGATTTACGTATGTGTCGCAGCTAATGAGAGTTAAATTTCCGCTAAACGAGCGAGATCGTCTATACATACCTTTCGAAATTAAAATCACGCAGCATTTTGTCAGCACATAAAAAAGTATTGTATAACGGTGTCACGCTCTTGCTTCCGTTTCCGTTTCGCTCTTATCAAACAAGAAACTCAATGACGGTGTTTTCTTTTAATGAAATATATATATATATATATATATCTGTTTTTTTTCTTTGCAGTTCTTCCTTCCTGTTCTCGTTGCAGAAACGCTTTCTATTCGTTTCCATCGCTGGATAGGCGCATATTCTTTTCCGTTGTGTGTATACACGCACGCACGCACACATGCACTTCTCGCGTGGGTGTTTCGTTCTCGACACACGCGCGCGCGCATGTCTCTGTGTGCAACAACGCGCTTACAACACGGTTCCGTTGCATGCCGGAACGCGAGGTTAAAGAACGCCTCGCGCGAACAGGTTCCCTTCCTTTTCCACGATGCCGAAGGGAATAGCGAAGCTATCAAACACGGCGACATAGTCTGATGCTGACAATAGATCGGTTCAAAATAAATAATGCCGAGTAAATGTGAAGAATTATATTAAAGTACAATCTTTGTATTTATTTTTCTAAATATTTTTTTTAACATATGATGAATTCTTATTCAAAGTGATAGTGCGAAAAGATGAAGAAAAAAAAACACGTTGAAGTCAGAAAATTGCATTATCAACAATATTCTTTGTTCTGATTAAAAGAATAAAAAAGTGTAGAGAATTTTTATGAAAAAGATTCATATTAATATACGTGTAAAAATTGCATTTTCACAAATTGAATCGAGTTCTCACTCGAATATAGATTTTTATGTGAAAATAACAGGCTGGAAAAAAACCAATAATCGCTTTTTGTGAATATTTTAATAGAATTTTTAATAGAATTATATTTCATAGAATTATAATTTTTTAGCGAGATAACACTTCATGAAACGTTTTCAAATAGATATTACGCTTTTCATTACCGACGCAAAATGCTGTGATAAATCGCGCGCGTTCACCTCACCATTACCTCGTTCGTTGTCTTCCGACGAAAAATGTCCGCTCGCGCGCCAATAAACAAAGCGCACTTGTCGACACACAGCGCACGGTTCTAAAATTGTGCGCGTTCCCACGAAGCAGAGTAATTTGTACCGTTCGAGACACGATCGTTAAACTCTTTCATGCGGCGATTTAGCAGGTTTCTTGCTGGCAGTAGCGAGAGCTATCTGCCGGCCGGTCAGCAGTCTGCGAATAACGCTTAAAGACGTTCGTGTAATTCAAATCAAGCCGGCTATTATTAATTTTGCAAACAATGCGACTGTACAGTTACGAAATTGATGAAGTAAAAACTCTCGTATAATATAATTAAAAAAAAAAAAACAACAACAAAAGTACTTAAAGTTACATGTTACAACATTTCATACACATTGCGCGTATGAAAGGATTATACGAATAAAAAAGAATTGTTCCAATGACCGGATATGTACCAATTGGCTGAACATTTATTAAAGCAAGAAATATTTATTAGATATGTAAATATTAAACACAACAATTCTCAATGTTTTAAGTATTTTTAAAGATATATTTTTAAATAGTAGTTCCTAACTTTCTACACATACACATACATATATGTATAAGTACATGTACTTTTTTATCATTAGTTTTTTAATAAATGTCCGGCAAGTGCTACACGTTCGGTTACTGAGACAATTACATTGATAATTTTTCAGTCTTTTCTATTAACTAAAGGTTGGCAGAAGTTGCAAAAGTGAAGTAAAAAAAATTTATATCTCGTCGATCGATTTCTTTGTTTTGATTGTTAGTGTCGAATCAAGTGTCGCCGCTACGAGCGCTTAGAAGCGCGCACCGCGCTTGCACGCGCAGAATAGTCGGTGTGGCAAAACCACAAGGAACCGTTCGCGTGGAGTTCGCGAACGTAGTGCATTTAGGGTCGATGCCCTCTCCTCCGTGCGCCGTCGATGTTCGGTGCTCTACGTATTTTCTCCTTATCTTCTTCTTTCTTTCTTTCCCTTTCTTCTCCTCCTCAACAACATACACACGCGAGTGACTTTCTGCCGCCTTTATCCCCGGGGTCTCTATTCCACTGGTCAGATACTTGTTGCACGGTCCTTAGAGATTCTCGAATGCCTCTTTTGCGATAATCGAGGGCAACTAGGTCTCGATGCGCGCGCGCGATTTTTTCTCGTCAGAAGAAAGAAAAATCAAGAAGGAAGACGAGAGTGTCGAGAATGTTTTCGAGCTTGAGATGCCCGCGGCGGCGGCACGCGTGATTATCCTTCTTATTAAATTAAATGTAACTAATTTCCAGGGCAACCTAATAAACGACATATTTTTTTAATGATATAGAAGAAGGTAATTGTGATTACCGTCCAATAGTTTTATCCGTCTAGAACGAAATAAATCCTGGAAAACAGGAACTACGCGAAGTTTACAAAATATTTGTACAACATTTGTTTCTGTCTTTTTGAATCAACTCCCGTTTTATACAAAGGCATTGTCTTAGCTCTTGGATAACTTTTCTCATAATCTCTTTTAATGTTGAAATTGCAAAACAACGCATTTATTTATTGATACATTGGCAGTGGAGAAATCTCACTTTTCTACTGTTTCTTTATAGCACGATCTTGTCCAGGAACCATAAATTATTATTATCCACTTTATTAAATTAAGCAAAAGCGATTCAAAGAGAAGATAATGAACAGCGTGACTTGGAATTAGTGCCCTAACTTTTTAATGCGTTTAAAGCACTCGTAAAAGCAATAAATTACCTCACTTGTAATTTAATACACACAGTGTAAGCTGATCACACTGAAGTCTTGAAGCGCAATGTATACGTATATCTTTCATTTTTATCTATTTTATTTCTTAAACTTTGGCTGTGTATAAAGCTCAAGTCTACAGAAGTTTTTCTCGTAAAATGGAAAATTTTAATTTTTCCTGCTTTATAAATAAATTTTTATGTTCCAACTTTTTTCTTTTATAATATGAATATAATCATTGTTTCTATAAAATATAATGATTGTTTCTAAATTTAGCTTTTAATCTTCAAGTCGAGTTAATCAATTTCAAGTTGGAGTTTTTGAATAAAAACTAATAGAATATATTACATTAACTAGAATATATAATATTAACTAATTTAGAATGCATAAGAAAAGATAAAAACACTTTGAAAATCAAGAAACAACTGTTTCTTCTTACGTGATGCTCTACAAGTTGCAATTGGACATTCTTTGCACCCGCGCGTGTGTATGTGTATTTTAATATATCAAATTATTTATGCTTTCTATCAACTACTACCATTACACCGCCATCAATCGTTGAAAATCTTGCATCGAACAGGTTTTCTTGCTTGACAAAAGATGCTCGAGCAAATCCAAGAAGATTGCGTTAAACATAGAGATAAATTCCTCTTACCCGCCTGCTTCACTAAGGCACTTGAGCGAATCACTACGATTTAATGTTTGCGATTTCACGAGATTGATTCTGACAATACATTCTTTTTTGTTGTAGTGATCTGGAGAAAGATTTAAGCTTATCTGAAGATAGTGACGATGAGGAGACCAAGGTAACGTAGAAAGAAACTATTTAAAAAAATGTATATTTAGACATATGAAACACGAAATAGTTATTAAACTATAAACGTTGAGTTCAAAGTTGTCAAAATCAGTAAATCGGACAGTATCAATTTATAAAATATATATAAGCAACCTCATATAACACGGCATTCTTACAATACGGTTTCAGAAGACGATAGCACAAATGAAAACTCTGAAGTTTAAAAATTTATTCTAAAAAACATACAGGAAGGCATGAACTTAACTGAACAATCAAAGTTCTATTTTTTTAATACAGATTCTTTTATCGAAAAAACCACAAAATTCAAGAAAGAAATTCACACATGCTTAGTTCCATATTACAAAATTTATAAAGATCCGTCACGCAAACAAACGATAATAGAGTTTTTTTTTGGAAAAAGTAGAGTATGAAAATTAAGATGCTGCAAAATAAAACTCAAAAGAGATGAGAACATCTTGTTAGAAAGAAAACGCTTCGCGCTTGTAGTGATGAAGCAAGAAAAAGAAAAAAATAGCAAACATTATTTACCATTATAATATATAAGTTTGATCAATTATATCTTTTTGATACTATTAATAACGCATTAGTTCTTTGTTCTATACAACACAAATTTGCATAACACGGCAATTTTTAGAAACCTAACCTAACTATTGTGTATTATACGGCGGTTACTATAAAAGAAAACGATTTATAAAGCTATCGACACTAAACCGTAAGTTATATTCTTGTCTTCGAATCTTTATTCTTTTTGTAACTTTATGCAACACCGTGAACTACTTTTGCAAATCAATACTATACCGCGGTCGATGAGAAAGTAATACAACGGCCGTTTATCGCGGCAAGAAAGATATTCTTGTTCTGCTTTACTTCACGGCGAGATTTCTGACAGCCGATCTTCCTTCTTTCCAGGAAACATTGTCGAGATCCACGAGAAGAGACAGAAGTCCGGATCTTCCACAAACCGAGTAAGTGTATATTATCTGTTCCCTTGACGCTCGAGAATCGGAGAGTGTCTTCATTGTATCGTTGTTTGTCGGGAATATCGAATTTTGAGGTATTTTGTTTCTTAATTTATAGCTTAGTAACGACACCAATAATCTCGGCGATGACATCGGCGCCGCAATCTTTGTCGCCCATCGTCATATCCCCTATGGGACCATTATCGCCAACATCACCGCGAGCGATCAGTCCATCATCGCCTAAACGGGATCGAGTGTCTCCTCTACCTGTTGCCAGCCAGCATCCCTTGCAGTCCGCATGTCCTCCGACAAATTCAATTGCCAATGATCATCAGTCGAGTCCGCCCGAAGCGCCGCAGAGCTCGGGAAGTGCCAGCTCGAGCTCGGACTCGGGTTCAGATTCGGGTTCGGATAGTAGCGACGATTCCGAGGACGATGACGATCGCGCGTCGATCCCGCCGCCAACTAAAGGACCCACGACGCCTCCATCGGTATCGCCGAAGAGAGATAATCTGATGGAAGAACCACCGCCCCCTGTGGAAGAGCGTCGATGGGATCTCAGCTCCTTCTTCAGTAAAAAAACAGCTATGCAATCCGGAGAGCAAAATTCGGAATCAAAGTCCACTCAGGTAAAATTAACGCTGTTGCGCGCTTAAATTAAAGATTATGTTAACAGTAAAATTATAATATTGATAACAGCTCAGAAATATAAATTAATTTGCGTATTGAATAATAAATGATAAGTTTTATTATCATACGCACATATCGTGTTGGTTCTATTGCCAATTGATTTCTTGTGCTAAATTCAGTATTATTAAGGTGGTGACGGCATCTCAGTTGAGAGTCTTCGAGACGTAACTGCTTCGAACACGAGATCTTTCTGTCTCTTTCTATCATCATTTTTGTGTATAAACGAATTTATCATAGTTTAAGGGTTTTTTTTTTCATTGAAAAAATTTCAAATATTTAGCTTTTTTTTATTGCAGATAGATTCAACTCTTGTGTTCTTAAAAAAAGAATTTATCGAAATGTGAACAATTGACGCTTTTAATTGCACAAAAGTTGAAAACGTGTGAAGATCGTTTAGCGCTCTTTTGCATTCACTCTTTATTATTGTCCGTTTTGAAATTCATTTGTGGAAGTTTATTACAAGAATTATGTTGAAGTTTCTTATGAAAAGACATTCATTATAACGAACGTCACTCTACCTCTGCCTAAATATTCTTGTTGCGATGAAAAAACTCCAGAGTAAGTTGCAGTACATATCCCAGCACAAGTACTATTCAACGAATATAAAGCCATTTTAAAAAAAGGTTACGGTAATCAAACTTACAATTGGATTAAAACTTTAAAATTCAATCGAGATGAAAAGCGCCTGAAGAATACGCGAGACATCTGCATCGCAATGTAGTAACAAAAATTTTAAACGCGTTTTTCTTGATAACTTGTTTTCAAAACATGAGTGCACGTTTATGAGGAAAGTAAACTTGTTGAACTAATCATCATCTTGCAATTGTGCGTGCATTTTCTGCATCTTATTCTATTTTAGAGCATGAACTTGGAATTTCTTGATATTCCAACAATTGTTTTCTCAAGTCCTTTACGAAAGACTGATTTTTACGTCACAAGTCGATCTTTAATTTTGAACTGACACTATTTTCTTATTTTTAACTTTCAGATTTTTTTGTTATTCATATGCCATTCGTCAACCGTTCGTAAATGCAACTTTCTCGCATCGTTTGTTTCGGGTTACCCGAAAGATCTGAGAAATGCTGCACTCGGTGCGAAACGTGTTTTTTTTATTTTTTATTTATTTATTTTTTTTTACAATTTCACTTAAATGATACTTGGGAATTAATAGATATGTCTATAATAAAATTTTACTTTAAAGATGGTTTAATGTGATTAATGTACGATAAAGGTGCAAAAGTTTCTCGGTATCCATATTACATAGTTGTTTTTAACAAACTGTTCGAGAATACCCTTCTTTTTTTGGTCCAAGTGAGAAAAATGTCTTAAATGTTTTGCATGCAAATAGTTAAAAAAAATAAATACAGTAAATAAATTTATTGTACAGGATAATGCCAGGCAAGAAGATACACTTGGGGCAACAAATGAGACCAGTAGGTCACACAGAGAACAGTCACACGATTGGGAAAAATTAAAGGCGGTTCGTGAAATAATAAAAGAAGTAATGAGTCCTCTCAGCGATAGCGATCAGCATTCTGATCAGCAAAAGAGTCATCAGCTAATAGATGACAATCGCGTTCAAACGGAAAAGTCAAAGATGTCCGATGTCAGAAAAGGACGCGGACGTCCTAGAAAATCCACTAAAAGTCCGAAACGCGGACACCGAACGTCGGATGAAGCTTTGAAGACAGGTAAGTCACGTAGCCGGACAAGAGCAGGCGGCGGGATTGGCAAGAAAAAGCAACCGATCTCAAAAGAAAGAGTGCCGACGAGCGATGACGACAGCGATTCGGAGACGCAAAGTGACTGTTCCGACAGCGATCGTCGTCTCGCGAAAATGATGCCAACGAGAGGCGAGAAAAGATCGAGGCTGAGCATGTCGTCCAGCGACAATGAAAGTTTGTTGGCCAAGAAAAACAATAACAATACCTCGGAGGACGACGCCGCGCGATGGAGAAGAGTCACTCCCATCAAACGAAACAATCTATCGGACTCGTCGAAAAAACAGGATAAGAAGAAGAGTCCTACCAAGAGCAAACCTAGACGACCGAGGTCTCGAGTGACCAACGTTACGGGCGGCTCGGATTCGGATAGCGAATCGGAAATATCTGTGCGAAGTAGTCGCATCCAAGTTGCTCGGTAAATTACTTTCAGTAATTATTTTAATTATTACGAATGCGCTGTAATTATTTTAATTATTACAAATGTGCTGTTTATTTAAAAACACACATTAAAGTAATTTAGATTATTCAAATATTTTTATTTTTCTTTCAAAATTTATTTTATCATTTTAGAAACTCTTTCACATATGATTATAATAGAATAGATATTATAATAGATATTAATAGAAAAAAAATTTTATAAATTAGTTAGGGGGGTATCCGGGGTCTGTCATATGTGAGATGCAAATCTAGCATCCCGTATGATTTTAAGAATTGAGTTTTCAACTCTAAAAACACTCACTTGTAAAAAATTTACAAGTTGAATTCGTTACATGTGTGTATATATACACGTACAGTTTCCGCTCAAAAAATCATGCGGATAGCTCGTAAAGCCTTATATATTTCTTGTTATTAATAGAAAAATTGTTTCAATGATATTAGAGTACCACCTAGACCACGAGCACCACCTACGAGAACGACGTCACCTGATAATTCGGACAGTGACAACAGCCCAGCGTCGAAGTTGCAGGAAGACGACGCTGGTAATGTGCAAGACAAGAAGAAAAGCGACACGTTGCGTCATGTCTTCTCAACGTCAAAAGGCGGTGGAAAAGGTGGCGGGAAAGGCGGAAAAGGTGGCAAAGGTGGCGGCAAATGCGGTATCTACGTAGAAGAATACACAAATAATTCCGCTACGCATACTCCGACTGGTGGAGACAGTCCTTACAAAAGACCGTCCTCTCAGACGTCGAGTGGGAATATTTTACGTTCATCTCCATCTTTTGCTCAAGGAAATAACATACCGAGCATCATGTGCAAGATCGAGCTCAGTAGAATATCACCACAAATATTGCAGTTGTGCAGAGGACAAGAACTTAGACAACGCACAGAACTATCCGATACCAGGCCGTCATCGAGGCAGCGATCTTCTTCTAGCTTAGCAATCTCACAACCGCCAAGATCGTCCACACCGGAAGAAGGCGAAATAATTGACACACCGCCTCCGCAGCAAATCGCCACGTCGGATCGTACGAGGATCCATCGCGCTGACGGACTGTTGGACGATAGAAATTCCCGGTCTGTGATCAAGGCTCAATCCATACCCTCGGACTCGAAGAGCAGTGGAATCATTGGAAATGCCGGTAGCACTAGCAATACCGGTATTAACGCGCCCAAAAGAAAACGAAATCCAAGTTGCAGCTCTATTTCTAGTTCAAGTCCCGCTCAATGTTTAGCTGATACGAAAACGAAGAGTTCTTCCGAGCACAAAGACAGGAGCCGCAAAAAGCAGCGAAGAGCTTCGCCAAGTCAGGTACGTCATTCACAGATTAAAAAACTTAACAAAGATATAGTTACAGGACACAAAGCCAAAATATGGAAACAAGTAATTAACCTCAAAGTACTATGAACACATGTTTGTTCGTTCGATAAGATCGCGGCCTATGAAAATATATATCTAGTCTAGTTATATAAAATGAACATTCTCGAAGAGATTTTCACTGACAAAGTCAAATTTACTACATTTTTACAATGTTATTTATAACAATTAGCGACTGTCTTTAGATTTTTTGGGCGGTACTCACACTCTGATTACATTCGCTTATAATAATAATAATAATAATAATAATAAAAATACAAGTAAATACTTATTTACTTATATCTTATTTTTTTAAATAAATGTAAAGTTCTACAACAATTTTGACTTTATATGCAAAGCGAGATCTCACTTGTATCTTCAGCAAGAAAACTGGTTAAGTTGTTTCTCTTTGGGATGAGGATTAATAAAATCTTGATATTTACGATACATTATAATGTTCTGCTAAAAGATATATCGCGAGATTTAATAAGTTGCAACACAAGTGACTCACGGACGTTGCTTATAAAACTTAGTTTGTGTAGTAAATACGGTAATTGTAAATAACGGTATTGTTCATGCGGATATTACTGCATACCGCTCTGAGAGACTCTGTGTTTTGATCATAGACGTATAATATATAGACTGCGCGTTTGGCTGAAAAGATGTCTTCAACGTTGAGAGAGACAACATACTTTGAATAGTAACTCTTTCTCTGTCTATCATTTCCCTCACTACTTCGCTAGACAAAGATGAGGCTACTATTCAACACCAGCTGTCTCTCTCAACGTTGGAGACATTTTCTTAACATGGCAAAGGTAGGGAACGCGCAGTCTATATATTATACGTCTGGTATAATATATGGTTTTGATGATAATCATGTACTCGTTTTTCTCATTGTCAGCGAAAATCCATTTAATGATGTTCATTTTATTTTACAAAAGCTCAAATGTCTCGGTTGACTAGAAAGACTAAAGAAACTAGAGAGAGACTTATACGTACATTTTTCCTATTGTCATTAAATCACAGTATTAAGACTTGATTAAGAGTATTAGTATCTATATAACTTAATTCTAAAATGAAGTACAAAACTAACAGTAGTACATCTGATGATTTAAGTAATTCTAAAAATAAAGCAGATCAGCGTATACATAATTTTATTCAAAAAATGAAATACAAAACCAAAGTACTAGTTTGATATATCCTATTTTTGTACATCAAATTCTAAAGGTATTTGATTAAGTATTACAATGTAAGTAACGGAAGGTATCATTGTCGTAATGAGGTGTTGTATATAAAAGTCAATATTATAACACATAACACAGGCACAATCATTTCAGTTATATACACGCAAACTAACATCTTTTTTTGTTATCTCTAGAACACACACCTGAGATCTGTGCGACTCTGCGCATTGTTATTCTCATGTTTACTTGTAAGATATAGCTTTGATAAAAATTATAAAACAACCGCATGAAATTATTATTCGGAAGCCATCATGGTTTCCATTAATCCCAACTAAAATAATCCGGAGGTTAAAAAGTTAAATAAAAATTGTTCGATTACAGATATGTGTGCGACTTTAACGTTGTGTATATTCTCAAAATTTTACAGGTGTTCTAGAGACACAAAATATTTTTTCGAACGCGGAGTGTGGAGCTAGTGAGGTGTTGAACGAAATAGTGTTGGTACTAAATATATATGTGAGGGGATAGAACTTACATCCGCTGTTTAACGAGGTCTTGCTATAAAAAGAAAAATAATGTTTAACTTCAATCGCCATTTTTATTCATCACATTCGTTAAAATAGACTTTCAATTCCCTTGTTGTTTGAACTTCATCTCCCCCTTCTCCACACCCGCTTTCGTCGCATTTCGCTCTATTTTAGTATACCTATATTCACCACAATGTAGTACACAGTAGCGTCTCTTAAACTCGGAAATGTTTTCACTCTTCTACATGTATATCTCCATATCTCCACTAATATAAAAAAAAAAAATACTCCATAAAAATTGATAGATTTATGAATTATTTGTTTTGACGACACGCAATGTCTCACAAGAAAGATTTTTTCATCTTCTGCTGACTTTTATTTCTTTCCCATTTGTCCTTTATTATTTTATCTGGTTTTTGTTACAATAGTTTGCCAGTAATATTTATTTCTCAAATCTAGACGATTTGATTACAAAATCTCCAAGTTTAAGAGCAGCTTCTCTGTATTTTTTATACACACACGCGCGCGCGTGTTTGTGTTTGTGTTTGTGTGTGTGTAAACATTACATATAAATAATTTATATATACGTATATATTTATATATATATGTAACATTATTATATAATTTTTACAAAATAGTATATATTTTTATAATAATTGTTATATAGTCTTTTATCAATTATTGTAGATATATATATATATGCTCGCACGAGCACGCGCACACACACACACACGTGTATATATGTATATGTAAGATATTATAATATGTACAAAATGTTTTTTATTCGAAAAATATTTACGTTAACATTTAACAAATATTTTTGTATGTTTTTATTGTAATTTATTTCCAAAGATTTTTATTATAAAGAAAGAACACTTCTTGCTTGTAAAAATAAATAAATGTTTTAGCACGAATATTTTCAAGTTATTTGGCGTTATTTTTATTTCTTCGTTTTATTTATTTATTTTTTTCAACTTCTAATTTGAAGTTATAAAAGAAAAGGACTTTTCTGGAATAAACTGGAATATAAAATTATTTATTTGTTCTTGGCTGCTGATTGGTGCAAAAAGTGATTATGTTTTGTTTGTTTCGTTTCAACAATGTGTACACATACATGGATCGTGGATAAAAAATTTTAAATACTGGAATAGTTTATGTTGTATGTAAATTTTTAGATATTCTTGTTATTATTTAGGAGTTTATTATAAGTATAGCCATAATTGCGTAAAAAGTACAAAAATAAATTTATGTACATTTTTAATGACCCAACAGCACAATGATATTCAGCCCACAAATCATGAAAGGGATACCAGTGAAGATACAAATCTACTACCACCACCACCTCTCCCGACTCAACGCGTCTACTATTCGTATTTCGATCCTCAAAATGAAATTTTGGAGGATCAGGAGAGGTAAATTTTTACCATTACACAGATATGTGGATTTTATATATACACACACCGCTTTTTATTCTTCTTATAGATGTATTTCTAACTTAACATTAAATAACACATTTTCAACGCATTGCTAACGCTAATGTTCTTTATCTCGTAGTTTGATTTAGAATTTGAAAATATATACTTTAGCCGGCATTCATAATCGAATCTTTTATACAAGAGAACATATATATATAAGATCATATGTAGATATAAATAATCGTCTCTATAAATTTATTATAAATATGTGTAAGATTGTTTTAAATTCATCTTCAGATGGTTTGTAGCCTGTAAAATACAGCCTGTACAACATCTTTAGATGAAGTTTAGAAAAACATTTTGAATATAAGATCGGACTGTGAATACCGGCCTTTGAGTAGATTCGAGCTCGTGTAACCAATTTTAGTTCTGTAATTCGAATGTTCTTTGTGTTTACATTATTGCTAATCGATATTTAGGTTTTTGTGTTTTTATTTCTTCTTTTAGTTTTTAAGTTTGCAACAAAACGGCTTTTTCGAATCTAAGACTTAATTTAGCACCTTAATAGATGTTTTGCACTAAAAAACAATTCTATATAAAGTTCCATACGAACACGTTAAATAATAACACATAAATTCCTCTGTCTGTATAAATATCAGTTGAAAATATTTAAGTAACAGAGTGCTGCTTTTAATTGCACACGAAGTTCGAGCATTTGCACTTCATTTTTTGAAATATGCAAAAATAAGAGTTGCATTTTGTTGCGCTATATTGTGTACGTAGAAGCTTACACATACTTAAAATCTTCATATGTTATCGAACATGAAGAGAATGAAACATCTAGATAAAAAGCTTTCAAAACACAAGATATAAAAGAAAGAAAATATGATTTATATATTTTGTGCATTTAATTATATTAAAAACATTTTTGTTCCAACTTTCACGCTGTTCAGGTTATATTTTTTGTAATAATTTCTTTAATTTTACTTATATGTAAAATTGTATACAAAAGCACGTACATCGAAGAGTCTAAAAACCTCTTGGCACGCTCTTCGACATGGTAAGTTGTTGTTTTATACTTTATTTTATAACCAAACTTTGTGTGTATGCATATAAAAATTGTAAATAACTTGCTGCAAACATAAAATATAGCATATATTTTGTAAATAGATTGCAAAATTTATACCCCATGCATGTCCACACACACACGCACACACGCACACGCACGCACGCACGCACACACACACGCGCGCACGCGAACACACACACACGCACGCGCACACACACACACACACACACAAAAGAAAAAGCAAACTACATTTTTATTTGTTACAGGGACCAAAATCAGTACCTGACTGAAGCTAAGCGATTGAAGCACAATGCTGATGAGGAGAGTGAGCTTACAGCGCAAGGCATGATGTACCTAGAAGCGGCTTTATACTTTCTTTTAACCGGCGACGCAATGGAGTCGGATCCAGTCACGGAGAAGGCGTCGTATACTATGTACAAAGACACTCTCAGTCTCATCAAGTGAGTATTACGTCTAATCGTATTGTGTGTTGAACATGTTATCTAGTTTATTCTATTCTTATGAGACTCTCAGATACTAGGTTCTTCTCGCTCGTATTCTCGGAACACAAAAAGAAAGAAAAACATTATTCTTTTGAAAAGTGAAGAACAAAAGCGAAACTTTATTTATAAATTACGACGTTTATCACAATTATTTAATTAACGCTAAAAATAATTCTTTTTAATAAAAACAAAATCTAGTTGAGATTAAAAAACTCTCACGCCACCGGTTACATTTGCTACATACGCACATAATTCAATAGAGAAACAGAGGACAAATTTGTTAATGCATTTGTTAATTACAGCGATATCTGATTTTCTTTGCGCAGATATATCTCGTCGAAATTCAAAAGTCAACCCAACAACTCGCCCGAGAATAGTATACACACCAAACTAGCTATTTTGAGGTATGTCCGATTGTTTTTACAAAGTTTTTAGAAACCGAATGACACAGTCTCGTCGCACGAACAAATCGCATATCACAGTTACGATTTCTATTTGTCTTTTCAGCCTTTGGTGTCAATCGCGTCTTTATTCTAAGCTCTACAATTTACGCAAACAAGAGGTGAAAGAGGTTCAAAAGATCATTAGTGACTTTACAAATCAGAAGGTAAGCGTTAACGTTAATACAATCGTTACACCAATGCAATTTGTTATATCGTCTCGTTTAATATATCGATTATTTCAATCACATCACATTACGCGATATTTACTATCAATCTCATTACAGCAATCAGTACTGTTACATATACGTTAAGTATATTTATGGTTATGTCTGACGGTAAATTTACTTTCTCAGCAATGTTTTCAGCAACCTTCTCAGCAACCAGCTCAGACAACGCCGGTACAGCCGGAGGGACAAGGTACGCCTTCTCTTTCGCCTACGCCATCGCCCGCCGGTTCCGTAGGTTCCGTCTGTAGTAGTTCTGGATACAGTAGCGGCGGTCAAGCTACGTCGGTTAGCGTGCCATTGCACGTCTATAACGCAATGATGAAGCAGAATCAGTATTCAGGATTACTTACCAACGGTCACGACCTCTGGGACCAGGCGATGAAGCAAGCGAAGCAAGAAGAACACAGAAGTACGTACGAAACATGAAGCATTATTTTGAGAATATTACGAATTTTACGCTCCAATGTAATATCATCACTTTGTTTCGCGTGCTTTCAGATTTTTTCATCGATTTAGATCGAAAGTTGGGACCTCTGACTGCGTATAGTTCGCTACGCGAGCTCGTGCGCTATGTTCAAGCGGGTATAAAAAAGCTACGAGCTCTCTGACCACAGTGGCACAGCCCCCGACCACCCACTCCAAACTACATTACTTCGCTTCCTCAAAATATAGTCACTTATCCGACTATGTTCACGTAATTGCGTCATAGCGTCGCGACATTACGTGTTAATCGCTGTAACTAGGACAAACGACGATGCGTAAAAACGTAAAGAAATAGTAAGACGCGAGATGGCGATGTGGCGAAATCGTAAACTGACTTTTTCTTTGAGGAAAGTGATCTCGGGGAGGGGAGGGGGTACGACCGAATAATAACGGTCGATCCACAAAACACAAAAGAAGAAGAAAACAAGAGAACAGCTGATAGAATTTTTCTTTAGTCGGACGATCCGAAACGACATAGGGGCATTCTTGAGATAAAATTAGCAGCAAGTTTTTCATATAGTCAATTGCGAAACGCGTGTTTCGAAGAGACGAGGAGATACTAGCTCGGATGCGGACGAGCGCTCATCATCTTTAACATGGTGCATAACGGAACCTCGTACACTTTGTTTATAGAGCACGTGTTACTTGATTTCGCGCAGCGGAGAATCGTCGAGCGGAGATAATATAAAGGCGCTCGTGAGCGACGAATGTTTAAAACACTTTAAATTTATACGTTGACATCTTGCGTCTATTTTTCCGAAGTGTCAGCTTTGTAAGTTAATGCATGTAGATACCGACGCGAGATTGAAAGAACGGCTCAAAGATAGAGAAAAAAGAGAGGAAAAATAGTAGGACCGTAAAAAAAGAAAAAAAAAGAAAAAAGTAAAACCACGAAGGAGTAGAAGTGCCACTGTAAAGCGCCCGTGTGTTCTCGCTTCACGGTGCGCCACAGCCGACGTTACCTGAAGTAGCACGAGTATCGTTTTTCGGCGATTCGAGTGCGATGAATACATATATATATATATATATATATAAATATATATATATATGTGGTAGTATGTGTGCGGGTGTGTGTGTATCTGCGTACGTGTATTCGTACACAAGTGCACACGCACGCACGCACGTACGCACACAACAAGAATATATACATATTTAATATATACATTACATATAGTTTATTACCTATATAAATATATAAATAGTTAATAAAAATAAGAATATATTTAATGAGACGAAAAGAGAAAGAGATAATGCATCTCGCGCGCCGGCGCTGCGTTTCAATATATGAGAAACAGTTCTATTCGCGAAATAGGAGATGATATCTCGTGATAACATAAGAAAAAAAGAGGAAAAAAACTGAGGGAGGGATTAGAATGTTTTTGGTGAAAAGAGATGCGCGAGCAACAGGATCAACAGCAAGAATCGAGCGATGTACTATATAGTTACGTCTAAACGTTTGCGTGCGACGGACGCGACTCTTTTTTGTAGATAGATCACGAGAAAAATAATTTAGACTAGAGTAATCAATATCGCAACAGAAACAGCAGATGCAGTAACACACAGATGCGACTATCAATACATATTATTTACATTACCTAGAATTAACCGGGGAATAAGTAGAGGTTTTAGTATGATGAAACGTTAAAAAAAAAAAAAAAGAAAAATACAGATATATCGCATACACATGTATACATAGCATGGACATTTGTAATGGAACGAGCGAAGAAAGAAACGAAGAACGGGACGAATGCCAAAATGACAGACGCGTTGGAAGATGAAAAGTATCGAGCAATACATATATTCGTGAGTAATGACCCGCGATTTCAAAATATGTAAATTCATATTTTCCCAGTAAATGCATTAGCGTATATTTTATATCTTATATACGCCTTGTTATTCGTCGTTCGTTACTCACGAGTACACTTTGTACACCGGAAGTGAAACACTTACATACGCATGAACTCAAAATAACAGAACGAATAACGAGGTAAAGCAAGCGCGAACGGATAAGTAAGTTGCTCATGTGTATATTTTTGTAAATAGGTGTTCGTGAATGCCGCCGTCTCGAGGGCGGTCTACCGCCGTTGAGAGTTCTCGGTAGATCCAGCCCGCCCCAATTTTTGCTACCACAAATCTTCTTGAGAATCAGGTGAGAGATTACAAATAGAAAGAAAGAAGAAGAAAAAAGACGTAAACGAAAAAACACACGACGAAATGTTTAAATTTTTATTTCCAATATATTTTTTTTGCGCAAAATTCATTCTCTGCACTTCTTTCTTCGAGAATCGCTCATTTGTGCGTCACGTTACTCTCTCGTACGAATGTGTATTCCTGTTCTTATCAATTGTTTCTCAATATTAATCGAGAAACCGTGTCAAAAACAAAAACAAAAACAAAATATCAGAGAACTTGTTACGGCAGCTTTTTGTTGTTCGAGTTTTCCGGAAATTCGACTCGTGTCACGCTTCAAACGCATCTCTTTCCCACGTTCGATAAAGAATTAACAACGGCGTGATTCAGCAGCGGGAAAGTATGTGATAATCGCACGTCTACTTTTCTCGATAAAACGCCGAATTTGACCGAATACTTAGTACTTTTGTGACAACTCAAACATGCGAATTGAAGGAAGACCTTCTTCAGATCTTTTATCAATCTAAGATCGATAGAAATGCGATCGCGTAGTCCAACATATCCTACTTGACAGAGCTCGAGTCTCTTAAAATTTTGTTTGACGACAAGCATCGCGTCTAAATTAGATCGGAGATAACCCCGATAGCGTTCTTTGAAAAAACGTAGGACCAATTATATAACGAAAAAATTTTAATTGTAATTTAATTACAATTGAAATTATATTGCTACGTATTGTTGCTGATTCGTCGGTAGTATCAAGAAAATAAAAGACGTCAAAATGAAAACGGACGTAACGGATTGGCGGGTTAACGACGGCCCATATAGTTACTAAGCGCGGTCCAATGGTTCATGGGATACAATTTTATATTTCGCGAGTGCTAAAGGATTAAGAGAAAAGGAGACTAAAAATATAAAGTAAAAAGAAGTTTATTAAGGAGCTTCGATATTTTCGAGACACATTTATAGCAAATACATATATCAGGCCCATTTTCCCGTCAAGCCGACTTTCCGAAAAAATGTTGGAAAAAAATAATCAACCGAATCAAAATTTCGCGTAATTTATCGAGAAAAGGACGATTTCAGTGCCGGGAAATATTTTCACAGCTATATATTGCCGAAGATGAGTTTACATCTGTTCGTAGTGATAAATGAAAAATTACCAATTTATATATAGATAGAGATTTGTATTTCTTTTAATGTTCCATTTTGATAATTTCGAGCTCTGATGTATGTTCCTGTACAATTTCCAAAGATAAGTAAAGGATGCTCTGTTTACTCCCATTACGACGACTAAGCAAACGCGAGTGTTGATCAGAAAGTATCCGAGAGTTATTTCCAATTTTTTTAAAAGTTTATTTTTTCCGGTTTATTATTCTTTTTTTTTTTTGTTTTTACCGGACTAACGCGAGTGATTCACGGAGTCGCGTCGCACGATTTTTGCTAGAAAATTCTATAACACTAGTATTTGGATCATCGTTACTGTTATTGTTAACGTTGACGATATTATTGGCGATAGATAAATAGGAGATATACAATCGGTAATATAATAATAATAATAATAATAATAACAATAATAATAATAGTAATACTAATAATAATACTAATAATAATAATAATAATAGTAATAGTAATAGTAATAATATATAGTAATAATCATTTATATTAATAATCACATAACAATAATAATGATAATGATACAATGGTAACAGTAACGATGTTACTATTTATATATAATATTATTACGCGTTACGAATATTATAATATCGTTATAATTTTTTTGAGATATTTTAACGAGTGAAGAAAAAATACAAAAACGAGGTGAAGTGATGCGTAGAGGAAGACAAGCAAAGACGTTAACGTTATATTTTATATAATATAATATTTTCCGTCACAAAACAGTTGATTTCAATCGGATAAACAAATCGCGCGAAAGATATGTTACACTCGTAACTGTAAAAAAATTTTGTAAGAAAATAGCGCCGTTTGGTTTTTTTTGTAGCCCTATCACACATCATACACTACTTGTAAAATATTTATATATGTATATATTATTTATATACATACACAATATATATAATATACAAGATTGCGTATATACACATACGTACATATATATATATATATATATATATATATATATATGTATGTATGTATGTATATGTTATAGAGAAGCAAAGTATATACACGTGATTTAATTACAAATAATATATTATTATATTAATATTATATTACACAGGACATACAATTATGCGATATTATTTTACCGTTATTCATACGAAACGTATTGCGTACTATCCAATTTCGGATACAATCAAGTGTTTTTTAAGCCGCCTCTAAACTTCCCTGTTTATCGCGCGATTGTGTGCCAAAAAACTGCCTTCGGACAGTCACGGCGAAACCTTATCACTGACCGATTTTCAGTCTTACAAATAAAACCATTCTTATTCCTCGCATATTCTTGTTTCGTATACACACATACTTGAAATATATAATATTGAAC